TATTTGAGTTGGAAAGGGCAAGATGTTTATCACTAAGTGAAATGACTTTGATGTAGCCTTAGAGAAGGATGCAAAGGGGAATTGGGTTGAAATGGATGGGGAGTACTAAGTGTGGTGTCTCAGGGATCTGTGCTGGAAATTCAGTAGTTGTGTACATTAATAACCTGGATTTGAAGACTCAATGCAAAGTAGCTAAAATGGTAGATGACACCATGTTAGAGAGGACTGTGGAATCAGAAGGGGTGGGGTGATGCGGGGGTCAATGTCTTACAAAGAGATCTTGATATGGTAGGCATCTGGCCTGATTGAAGTTCAGTACAGCTAAATGCAAGTTACTGCATATAGGAAGAGATCCCGAAGGATTCCGAGGACTGTTAGTTGACTCATCACTCAACAGGTCAAAACTTGTGAGGAGCAGCAAACAAACTAAGCAAGCAAGATGCTGGGCGAGATCGTCAAATCAGTTGAGTTCAGATTCTGGAATTCAGGTCCAGCTGTAGAATGTGCTGGTTAGACTGAAGTATATTATACAGTTCTTGTTGACCAGGCCCTTTAGGGGAATGACCAGGTTACTTAGGTGCTGCAGAGAAGAGCAACAACTGTCAAAGGTATGAGCTACAAGGCATGATTGGATATCTAATAATAATAATCCTTTGATATAGCGCTTTATCGAGTCTTCGAGACATCTCAAAGCGCTTCACAGAGTATAGAATAAGACAAGGTTTCCAGCCTTCAAAAGAGATTTTTCCAAGAAGACCACACGGACGGTATATAAGCTACTAAATTGAATTGAGAAAGTAAAGCAGAACTCTGCTTTCAGATAAGCCAAGGCACTAGGACAAAAGGGCACGAGTTCAAGGATGTGAAGGGTAGTTTCAAGACAGACACCAAGATGAATTTCATTCCAATATAGGGTAATTAACTACTGAATCCTCTCTCACAATTCAGTATCCTTTTGTTGATGATATGACCATAAACTGCACAGATCTTCCAAATCAGGCATCACTGCCGATTTACAGGGAATCTCTTTGAAAAATAAAATCATTTCTTTCAATTTATAATTCGCGTCTTTTGAGATGTAAATCCGATTACTGAAATATGAGGAATGTTTTATGCCTGAAACGTTAACTTATCTTTTTATTTCCTCTTTTTCAGTTTTTGATTCGACTGCTATGGATTTCCGGCAATTTCTGTTTTAGTATTTGAGGAGAAAAACAATCATTCCTTCCTTTTTTTTTTGCAAAGAGCTTCACATTGATTAATAATTGCATTCAATAATCCATTTCCTCACCTATCTTTGCTAATGGGTACCCATGCTTTTGTATGTTCATTGTTGCTTGATCCATTATCCCTTACCTTGCATTTGCCACATTAAAATACATTAAAAGCTCTATGAGACGTTACGCAGCATGGAGGGCGCTATATAAGTGCAAGTTGTTGTTGTTAGAATCCAATTGTCACTGTAAGACACAATTGATTGACTTGCTCCAGGAAGGCTGAAATCAAATGGGCTGAAGAGCCTTCTTCATCCTTAATCTCTCTTGTGATCAGAACTTTGTGTGCTTTATCGATTATTCTTTTATCGTTTACTTGGCCACATCATATTTTATGTTGAGAGAAGTGCAGTTTCTCCATGCCATGTGGGAATAGTGTGAACAACAGTGATTTTATTTAGATCACTCAGAGGCCTCACATGTAGAAACCAATCACCATGCTTAAGAGTCTCCAAACCAAACCACTGGGAGTTCCACTCATGTAGACTTTCCATTTATCTGGTACAGAGGCTCTCTCCCCAGAGGGTGCAACTTGTTTACCTGGAGAATTTAGGTGCAGGTTGACAAGAGCCAAGACTTCACAATCCCAGAGTGTACATTGTGTATTGCCAACAAAAAACACGAATGCTACTATTCTACTGAGAAGTCCTGCTGCTTGCTCAGATAGGACTACCCTCCCCATTAGGGCTTTGCAGGGTTCATGTGAGCCAATAAAATGTATAAAGTAATAAGTGTAAAGAAACAAATGTGTGAAATTTGCTTATGAATTGGCATTATAATTTTGAATTCTAGAAGTGGGCAAATCAAACCAATTTAAGTGATCGGTTGTGTATAAGACAGTAAAAGGCTCCACTACTGGTTAAATGACATATTCATATACAATTTTTTTAAATGATTATTTAAAATTATATGATTTTTAAAATCAAATTGCAAGCCATTTATTTTGCCAAAATCACTTGACCAAATTGGTCATGGCAATAGCAATAATTAAGAATTTAACTATGACATATTAACTTTAAATATAAATTAACTGTTACATTATAGTGGGCTTTGTTCCCAAAAAGACACAGAACTAATTTATAATATTGTTAACTACTTTTTTTTATTTTCAGCCAAAAATCTGACAAAAATCTAGCAAACATATAACTGTAAAATTAAAATGAATAAATAGCAATAACATATTAATTGGTGCCAAAAATAATGATACCAAATGAAAACATTGTGCTCTAACATGTCACGACTAAACACGAGGTGCCTACAAAGTAATTGTTATTTGAAACGTCCACTTTTTAGTAACATACATTTGTTTTCTTTTGTGAATTCCTTCAGCCATTGAAAATAAAAGTCAATAAATCTTGCATCGCAGGGCAAGGAAACCTTCAGTTTTAGATTTTGTGATGTGGAGCAATTTATTTGGGGGTCAGCTGGGTGTCTGACACATATGCAGAATCCCATCACCGTGCTTAAGAGTATCTAAACCAAATTGAGTTTGGGGTAACTGCTGGAGTCCAACCAGCTAAAACCCCATAGCTTGCCATGATATCACTTATATATATATGCGAACGCAACAAAATTCCTTAATTGTTCAGGTGAAAACAAAATAATTTTACTCCTCTTTGATTACAGTGATCTAGTCCGAGCCAGCACTGTGATGGTCTTCTCCCCTGACCAACCATCCTCTGGAACATCCCCAGGAGTAGAATGTCTCATGACAGCTCTCACTATATTTTTCACCCCATTGCCAACAAGGATTGCAAACTTGCATTTTGGAAAAAATTATTTTGGTTCCAGGTTCGTACGCTCTGTTTGGACCGGATTTGCAGAGTAATCTTCTGTCTCAGCCTCGGGAATTGACGATTTGCTTCATTAACCCACGTGTCACTTGTTTTAAATTGCCATAATTTTCATGCATCAATATGAGTAGTGAAAATCTGGAACTCCCTCCCCCAAAAGGCTGTGGATGCTGGATACATTTACATTTTCAAGACTGAGGGTGGATGGATTTTTGTTAGGTCAGGGTATCAAGGGATATGGGGCAAAGGCGGATAATTGGAGTTGAGGTACAAATCAACCATGATCTAATAGAATGATGGAACAGGCTCGAGGGGCTGAATGGCCTACTCCTGTCCCTATGATATTTGTAAATCTGTAACATATGCACATTGTTTCTCCGCAATGCGAGTGAAACCGAGCTGGGGAAACCCAAGTAGGGTTCACTTGCAAAAGGATAGGTAACGACAATTTATTTATATAGCGCCTTTCATGTAAAAGAATCTCTCGAAGGGCTTCACAAAAGGAATATAATTAGAAGTGAGTATGATGTAGGCAGTAAGCTTTTTTTTTGTATGTAGTCGTTTGAATCACAAGGCAGATGTTTAAGAACTCATTTGAAAATAAGACAATGATGTGGAAAATAAATGAACACTAATACTTGTGGCTAATGTAGAGGCTTAACACACCTCAAGTGCTCAACAAAAAGTTACAAAAAATGCAGTGGATGTTGTCATTTCGGCACATACAACAGCCAATCTGCCCCAGTAATCTACCCCTCAAACAACAAAGAAGGTGAGTAGCCAAAATGTACAGGATAATAAAAATCAATTTTAAAACTAAGAAAAGGGAAGGGAAATGGGGGAAGAGACTAAAAGTGGGAAAAATGGAAGACTGATGGAAGCTCAAGTCTAAGGGGGGAGCTGAGTTGCACATCTAGAGAGGGGTTAGTGGCCTGGATCAGCCACTGTCTCTCCATTTGCTGTTTTTCTACCTTTGAATCTTTTACTAGAAATATGGAGTGAGCCACTTGTGTTGGATTCAACCTTCCGATACACTACCCTGAGTGGTACTATACGAGTGCAACTTATTGTTGACGAGGCCACCTCTCTCTGTGGCTTTCAGGAACTCTTCAGTTGGTGTGAAGCTATTGCAGAGTTTGACTTGGACTTTCATTCTTCTTGGGTTGGGTTGAAGCTGCCCTCTCTGAGATATGAGCAATACAGTCTCACAAATCACATTATCTCTTATTCCGCCTGTTCTGGACCCATCAATTAGTGACCATTTATTTTCTTGTTTAATCACTCCTCCTTGCTTACTCTTTTGAACCTTGCTGATGTCCTAATGGACGTTATGTCACATTTCCCCCAGATGAGTTACAGATCAGATCATGGGTAGCTAGGGACATGCGTGCATGTGACCGCCAGGAAGGTGGAAGGCGAACTAGATGGTCTTTTTGTCGTCCAGCATTTCTTATGTTCTTACAGTGTTAGACACTTTCTAACAATTGGCTTTCACCTCAAAATTTGGAAAAACAACAAGACTGTTCGAAATAAATGAACCATTAAATTAATAACCTATCGTATCCTTTCAATTTTAAAATATTAGTAAAAGCGTAAATTATCGCAAGACAACTTGTTGAGTCTAGGATGCATTTCCGTGGTTGACTCAATATCTTCCATCCCATGCCATGTGTTCTCAAACTAAAACCCACAGTTTCACTATATTGTATATTTTTCTCTGAAGTTAGCTAATTTAAACAAAACATCATAATATATACAACTCTTGAAGACAACATCCTGTGTCATGTTCCAGTGTTTTTTTTAAAATGTGGGACAAAAAAAACATTCACCTGAAAAAAAATTGCATCTATCCTTAAAAGCTAATCTATGCATTCTACTTAAGCCTGAACTACTTTCTTTAATCTACTCAAGCCTGAACTACCTACCTTCTTCATTTTATGATCAATCTGCTCCACAAGTATAATCAGATGCTAACTGGCACGGATGAAGCTGAACTGTTCCTGGATTCACGGGTCTTTTGAGTTGGCAAAGTGACCACACAACAGGAAACACCCACTGTAGCCTCTGTGAGGTCATCCTCATCAATCCATTCATTCATGTTTGGGTTATAACATTGGACGCACTTCTTATATTTCTTCTCAACCTCATTCCAGCCTCCCACCACATAGATTTTACCATCAATGGTTGCAGCACCAGCAGTGCTGACCCCCACGTGGAGCGGAGCAACCTGGCTCCATTGCGCTGTGGAGGGATTATAGCATTCAACAGGGAGCACATCAATCCTCTCACCCTTGCCTCCGAGCTGACTGCCACCCAATACATAGACACGATCGAAGAGGGAAATGGCACAGTGCCAGCCTCTGGGGGTACTTAAATTAGCTTTGTCCTGCCAGCTGTCTGCTGAGGGATCATAGGCACAGGCCAAACGGGAATATGCATTATTTATGTATCCTCCTGTAACCAGGATTTTACCATCTACGACAGCACCAGCATGACAGCATCTGGGGACCTCTAACGGTGCCTTCAGCTGCCAGTGGTTGGTGGCAGGCACATAGCATTCAACAGAGGCCAGAGGACCATCTGGATTCCTGCCCCCGATTGCGAAAAGTAACCCATTGAAAACATTCAGACTGAAGTGGGTGCGTCTCTGCACCATGTTTCCCAAATGAATCCAGCTGTTGAATCGAGGATCGTACCTGTGAAGAAAATAAAGAGAAAAATGCAAATACAGTACTAACACCATTAATCATTGTAACACTTTCCTGCAACAGATTGAGAATTCCACATTCAATCCACCTTAAAAATAGGGTGACCATATTTTGTACACCAAATCCAGGGACACATATAAAAAAAAGGAACCCACCACAATTCCTGATGCTTGCAGTACTGGAGAAGCTTGTTGAATTAATGGTTGTATTTCTCTGATGAGTGTATCTGTTTTAGGACTTTATTGTTATTGCTCAGTTTGTTGCTGAACTCAAGACAAGGCAAATTTGGCCCCAGGGACACAATACCTGATCTGAGGACTATCCCCGGAAATCGGGGATGTAGTCGTTGTACCTTAAAGATATTTTCTCTCACCTCCCCTCGGTTTATATTTGCGACCATCTTAATTATCGTAGGGTAGAGGTGGGTTACATGACAACAGGCACGTTTTACAACCAGCCACTTCCCTTCAACTCAGACAGCAGTCAGTCCCAGTCGCTGTTCTCTACCAAATTTTTCTGCTACAGTCTGTGCTAAGACAAGTTAGTCATGCTGACAATCTACAAAAAATGCTTGAAATCCTAGGCCAAATGAAACGAGTCTGTGCTGCTCTGACTTCACGTAACTGTCAAGTAATTGTTATACCATACTTGTGCCTTTTCAGCACATTTTTAGATGGAGGGAAGTCGGGACTATGGAATTCTTTGTTGAGTCCATTCATTCTTTAAACAGTATTTTATAGATTCTTTTGGAAACGAATAAAGAGAAATACTGAAGGCTATGGGGAGGGAGTGGGGGTGTGGAATTAAGTTGGGTGGCTCATATGGAGAAAACGCATAGACCCGATGGGCCAAATGGTCTATTTTTGTGCTGTAGGTTTCAACGCTTTTGCCAGTAGCAAGAAAACCAACACAGAAGTGGAAGTGCTGAAAGTGGGTGGGCCCAATAATGTGGCATTTGTACAGAGTAAACAGTGAATCCTGCAAGTAACTATTGGTGCTTCAACCACCTCATCGGAACTTGCCTCCCTCAGGATATCCTGCCAAAGCAGAGTTCCTCTTCATGAGGTGCACCCAGATACCTGCAAGAGTTTATCTGTGACTCAAGAAACACTGTAATTTCATCTCTATCAGTGCTCTCCCACTTCCACGGTGGGGGCAGGATAGCTGGAGAGGCGACTGAATGCAGTTTGACTACCGTTATGTTCTTCACTTTACTCTTGTCCCAGTTTTATTCCGGTCCAATATTGAATACAGAATTAAAGAATTATTGATGAATCTGTACACTGTAATCAATTCTGTATTTCAGCCACCGTTGAAAAAGCATTCCATACTCTGACAACCTTCTGGAACATGTACATCTAAACCTCTCATTTTACACGTGCAGTTATTATGTGCAGTTTTGGGCATCATATTATAAAAAGAATATTAAGAGTTATGGAGGAGGGTTTCATGAGGACGATACCAGAGATGAAAGAATGTAGTTATGAGAAGCTGCTGGACAGGTTAAGACTCTTTCTGTTGGAGCAGAGAAGTTGGAGGGGTGATATGATCAAAGTATTTAAGGTAATTAAATGGTATGAAAAACAACAATTAAATTTAGCTAGCAAGTTTTAAAAAACATTTAAAAAGTTTTTTGTAATTTTTTTGGACATAAAATATACAGTGTAGCCCTTTACAGTAGATTTGGTGAATCGCTTTGGGACTTCTGAAAAAAGCATGATAAGTTGCTATATCAAATGCAAGGATTATTATTATTCATTATTCACTTTCACGTCAAGATGACACCGTAAAGCACTTCTCATAACTGAAGAAATTAATTGTGTATAATTCTTTCTGCTGGTAGGGGATTTGAGAGAAGAGGACATGAGTTCAGGATTGTGATCAGGGGAGTAAAATGAGAGGTTTGGACGAACATGTTCCAGAAGGTTGTCAGAGTATGGAATGGTTTTTCAAGGGTGGCTGGAAATGCAAAATTGATTGGGGCCATGTAAAAGCGAATTAGAGAAGCACACGCTGAGGAAGACTATAATAATAAATAATAATCCTTGCATTTGGTATCGTGCTTTCATGTTGGGAGTACGTCCCAAAACCCTTCACAAGATTTACTGTGAAGTGCAGTGACTGTGCACAAACAGCCATGAAGTAAGTGACCAATTTTATTTGGGGGATTGTTTGCCAGGACATCGGGGAAAACCCCCCTTCCTTTTCGAATACCTCCATGGGATCTTTAACGTCCACCTGAACAGGCAGATGGGACCTTGCTTTTATGTCTCATCCTAAGAATGTCACCTCCAACAATGCAACACACCCCAGCACTGCAGTGGAGTGTTAGCTTAGACTTTAGAGGTTACAGGGAAAGGAACAGACACTAAAACAAAAAACAAATGGTCTAAAACGGCCTCCTGTTATATCATAGATTTCTATGGTTCTATGGACTCATATACAGAGACAGGAAATATCACATACTGTAGTACTCTCAGCTCTGAGTCAGAAAATTTTAAGTTTAATTTGTTAAATGAAGGTCCTGTCAGCCTGTTTAGGTGAATAAAAAGTTCCAATTGTACCATTTTATACTGTGTCCTGGACAACAATTTCTTCCATCCCCTCTGATAAAAAAAATTGTGATTCACTTCATGGCTGTTTGTGGGACGTTGCTGTGTGCAAACTGGCTACGAATCCACCATCCTGTGAAACTCTTTGAGACATCCTTCTGATATGAAGATGTCACTCCTGATGGGACACCTTTTGACAGGAATACTTGCTGTTGAGGGCAGCAGCTGAAACTGCTGGGGAATCCGATATTATTCGGTTTCCAGCAGTGTCACAGGAAGAACTGCAGTGCTGTTGGAAACTAAATTCACCATCAAATTGTCCCTCTGAATCCAAATGAAAAGTAACTTCTTTCTTTATCCTGTCTGCACTACACCTAACCCGCTTGACGTGTCCTAGCGCCTTGGGACGTCCTCCTGATGTGAAAGGCGCTGTTACCAATGTAATTTGTTGTTGCGTCTATTTGTTTTTCAAGGGAGTGACAGCCTGAAGATTAACTGTTTAGAAAAGAATTTTTATCATGCTTAAATATCGCAAAACACCTCACAAGCAATTGCTGTCAAGTGCAGCCATTTTTGCTTTAAACGCAAAAGCGGCAGCTAAGTTGTGCTAACATGGTCCCTAAAACAGCCATGAGGTGAACGATCAAATAATCTAGAGGATTGTCAGAGAGGAAACCGGGAAAAAGTCCCTTATTATTTATTAACACTAGATATCATTATATACTCTTGTTTTGAAACGAAAAGCTCTCCAGGACTCTACCCCACGTGAAGGCTGCTATATAAATACACGTTGTTGTAAAATATCTTGTAATACAGTAATAATACTGAACCAGAAGAGCATTAATATCTTAATTATCGTCTGAACGGGGCCTCGGTGAGAAACTAAACATGAAACCCTAGAGATTCAACTGATTTTTAAAGCTCTTGACTCATATCTCTTTAAAAGAAAAATAAACCTTCACATCCATAAAAAGAAATAATTCTTATTTAAAAAATTATTATTATTAAAAAAAGATTTAAATTATTATTAAAAAAATTTTTTTAATAAGAATTATTAAAGGCTTCCATATATTTATGTATGTACTTACCTCTCATTCAACTCCAAATGCAAAAAGTATTGTGTTCTAAATTATTGAAATACTTTAAAACAAAATTCTGCCAATCTACGAGTTGTCCAGCAGAGAGATACAGCTTTTTAAGCTGGAGTTCAGAGAATGATGGATAACCGACTTGCAAATCAAGGCTTAATTTGAGAATTTTCCAAAATTCTGCATAATCTTAAATTTAAAGCAATGGTTTTAAAATTAAGACCAGGAAAAATTCCGAGTCTCCAGAGATCGTCCTTCTACACACAGTACTACTTTATTGTTACCTGCAGACGTTGCTCACAGCATGCTTGGCCTGATTTCTGGCATCATTCTGATCTTCCCCACCAGCTACGTATAGGAATCCATCCATCACAGCGACACATTGATTGAAGCTCTTGTAAGGCATTTCAGAAAGTTTGTTCCATCCACGCTCAGGATCTCTGTATATAATGTCTCTACTCAGCGACTTTTCTGTCAGTGCTGGACGACCAGCCACCATGACCAGGACTTTGAGACCACTGCGAACTTTAGTTCTTCTGCATTGCAAGGTGTTTTGCTGATAGGGAAGAAGATGGTAATTCATGGCATCTACCAAAAATCTGTGGCACTCTGTATCTTGCATCATTCTAGGCACAGTCTGAACATAGTTGACCAGATCTTGTGCTGAGATGGTGCAAAAGCGAATCGTGCTCAGGAGATCTGCTGCGTACTTAGCCCTTTTACTGTCGAAATCCAGCCACTTCATTGCAATCTGGAATGCCGTGATTTCTGAGGGCAACAGCAGGGCATCATCCATCATGAATTTAATGATTTGCTCAAAGGTAAGTTTCAGGAACTGGTCCTTTTCTGAAAACTCTATGAAATGGTCCCGAATGAAGTTATGTGCAGCTTCCATGGTATTCCTCAATCCATACGTTTCTGCAATGTTAACGATGTACATGCAGTTCTCAACATTGATTTCCTGCATCAAAAAATCGCAGCACATCTTAATAAGAGAATGAATCTGGAGCTGGTTGGCTGTTGCTATAATGTTACCAATGGTGTAGAGAGAGAGGGTTAGCTTTCCACTGTAAGCGTACGTGATCACCGCATTGAGACCAACAGCAGATATGTCATTGACGTCTACCCTGTGGGTGGTTGGGTCTTTCTTCAGGATATTCCTGAAGTATTCGCTGCAGGATGCCATCACCACTTTGTGAACATCAAAGGATTTGGATTTCGTAGCGATGGTGAGGTCGCACAGGAACTTTTCTTGCTTCATCTTGTTGAGGACTTCCAGTAGATTCAAACCGTAGGTTGAGTCGGACATTTCAGTGGAGATGCGACTGAAGCCATTGCCCCCATCGACCAACCCGTTGACACCGTTTAAATGGATGATGGTACTTTCTTCTACAATCACTGTTGTTTCCTTGTTCTCCGCTTTATTCTTTTTAAAGCTCTTCTTCTTCGGTGCCATGACTGCAATGCTGGTGTCACAGCCACGACCTGAAACACATTAATTGTATTTACTTACAGACTTTATGCCTTGTAATTCTACAATATATATTGCAGTTTCTCGTCTTCACCCTCAAAACTCTCCACAGCTTTGCTCCTCTGTGACCTACTAACTCCATATCCACCTGTCTGCTCCCTCCGCTCATCGGGCTCCGGCCTGCTGCTTGTCCCCCGAACCGGTTTGCCCCACCATCGGCAACCTTCAGCCTCTCTGCCTTCACCCTTTGGAACTCCATCTCACAGTCCCTTCGCCTCGCACCCTCCCTTGCCTCCTTCAAGGCCCATCTCAAGTCAGTCCTCTTCGACCATGCCTTTGGTCACCCTCTGACCCCTAACCTCCTGGACCGCCACACCTCCTGATCCCAACCTCAGCTCGTGTCCAAATCCCTGACTGTCAGACCCTTGTCTTGTCGTTCTGCATTCAGGAACAACAGTATGAATGTTAGGAACGTAGAGACTGAAACAGGCCAATGGTTCATTGAGTCTGCTGTATCAGTTTATTACATTATGCCATTGATTTCATCCCATTTAAACACCTTTCTCCATACCCCTAAATGCCTAATTATTTATCTCTATCTATCTTCATCCATCCATCCAGTCCATGTTTTAAGTAACATAATTATAAGAGTAAACAAGTTTCCTAGTTTAAAATAGATTGTGATCAAATAAACATAGACCAAAACTCGCTTTCCTCTCTCCGTGGATGCTGTATGACCTGATGAGTGTTCCCAGCAACTTCTGTTTTTATTGTAAAACATAAACCATGTTTATTTGAGGAGTTTTGCTCCTGTAATATACATCGATACTCAAGCATATTTTTTTTATGAACTCTTGTGTGTATGGTTTTTAGTAAAAGCCAAATACGATAAACCTTGTTGGACATTTATGGAAGCAATTAAATGTGTACAATAAGAGAAATCTACAAACATATATATACAGTTTGCAAATTTTTCAGTGCAAATATTCTGTGCTTACTGTTCTAAAGAGCAATTAAATTATTTATCCGTGAGGCATCTGCACAGGATGAATATCATATACCAATCGTAATATTGCCTTGTCAACTCCACTTCAAACTAGCTAAATACTATAACTAACCACAGGCCAGAGATCAAACTTGGAACCTTCTTGGTTTGTGCAGCTCAAGTGTGGTGTATTTTAGCAAATTAGACATTGGCATATCTTCACAGCATAGATTCCATAAACCTGTCAAATCAAAGCTGTCCTTTCAAATTGTGGTTTGAATTGTAATAACTTGCCCCAGATTTACTTTTTCAACTTGCTTGTAAGAAAAATAAAATACCCTAAAACTTTCCAAACATTGAATAGAGCTTTAAACCACGATATAACAAAAGAGGTTATAATCCCTATGGTGGAACACTTAATAACCTCTACAATGCAAGTTGCAAAACCAACCTTCTGCACAAGTGGAACACATATGGAATTCAAAGCGAAGAATGAAATATTAATCAATTTGCAAACCACCAAACGGATTTTTGTTATCAAATGTTGGTCAAATCTTAAGGCGCAGACACAGCAGTGAAATTGCAAATTGATGCACAAGAACACATTTTGAAATTGAAAAAACAATACACTCAGAAATCCATACCTGCTGAGGTTCATTCAACAAAACGTATTGCTCGCAAAATACACCGTCAATTCACTTTACAGCATATTCTGTGAAACCCTTTGAGACATCTTAACGACGTGATAAGGTGCTATATCAAATGCAAGGATTATTATGACTATTATTATTATAAAACTGGCGGGAAAATAACTAAGTTCGAAATAAAGGTTGGAATATTTTGAAAATAAAGCTTACAAAGTGTAGCCTTTAAATCTCAGGTGCTTTTGGTAGCAACGCAGCACGTGGAAAGGCAAGTAAAGGAATAAAGTTTCAGTGAACTGAGAAATTAGCCGTCTGCATTCTTTCTCTCCTTGCATCTGCTGAAGTATATCAATCAGCTCCAGGAATAGAAACAGCACAGTTCAAGCACAAGCAACACTCATGCCGGGTTGCCATATTAAGATTGGTTCAATTTAAGCTGCTGCCATTCCAGCAAGGGAGGAGGGGCACATTTCATTCATTTTCATTAGTTTATGAGCATGTGACTGCAAACCCGCTGCTGTAAAAGAGAAAGGCATGCATTATACGCTTATCTTAAAAGTTAAACCGATGCACCAACTTTATAATAATAATCCTTGCATTTGATATAGCCCCTTATCACGATTTTAAAACGTCTCAAAGCGCTTCACAGAATACACTGTAAAGTGAATTGACTGGATATTTTGTGGACCAATTGCGCGCAGCAGTGTCCCACAAACAGTCGTGGATCGAGTGATCAAATTTATCTCGGAAGGAAACTTGTTTGCTCACGCTCGAAAGGGAAAAATAAGTGTATCATTTAAATTGTTTCTTCCCATTCCTTCCACAATTAAAACATGATACAGAAGTTAAAACATTGAAGGCATTTTCCCGATCCTCGTCACCTTTATTGCTAATAATTATTTGGTGTAGCACCTTTCGCATCAGGAGGATGTTTCAAAGCACTGTACAAGATTTATTGTGAAGTATTTTGAAACATCACTACACAGTGACTGTGTATTTTGTATCCGTGAATGCAATTTGCGCACAGCAATGTCCCACAAACAGCACAAAAAGTGAGTAACCAATTTTATTTTAGGGGTTTTGGCCCATACGCCAGCGAAACTCCTCTCTCTTTCCAAATCATGTCACGGGCTCTTTAACATTCTCCAGAGCAGGCAGACAGATAGGAGCTTGGTTTAACACCCCACCCAAAAAGACAAGTTAATACCTATTTTGCAAGTTCTACCCGACAGTAACTTTATTATTATTAATAAGAAAATGCTAGAAAAGGTTTTAGCCGCATACAGTAGACTTTGTAGCAATTTAAAAGCTTTATCATCATTTCACCCACAAAATACAGAGTCCATCCACTTTACAACATATTCAACATGAAGCGCTTCGAGATGCCCGAGCGACACGGTAAGGCGCCGTATCAAATACCAATAATATGATCGCTAACAACATCAATCGACGCAAAAAAAAAAAAAATCCAACCGCTTTAACTCCTGAAATGGCGCACGACTTCAAGAACTGTTTCAAAGAGAAACCAGAGAGCGCAAATTGCAATGGAAAGCCTACCCTGAGCGATGAAGTTTCTTGCTGTAACTTTTATTGAGAGAGGAGAGAGAGAGAGAGGAATAGAGGAGAGAGAGAGATAGAGGAGCTCTCTGATCTATTGCTGCTAATAGACTTGTCAAGCCAATGATGGGTCAGTCAATGCAGCTGCATTCTGCTCATTGCCTGTGGCTCTCGCCTCCTGTTTAAGCCTCTGGAGGCTGAGAGAGCAGCTTAGAGACGTGTTTCCGGGACTGATCATCACCTGCCCCGCATTGGACACAGGAGGAGAGGCTGAGGTTGGGGCTGGAGCTCCCTCAGGAGTAGCACTGGCCATGGCTCAGGAGACAGTGCACCAGGTACTGCAGCTCAAACAACGACTCGCCCAGGTTAATGGTCCCAGTAAGGTGCGTGTCAAGTGTTTCTCTAAAGGAACTAACCCCCAAGTTATTCTTCTCCTGGGCAAATTGTTGTTGGATATAACCCCCTCCACACACACACCCACACACAACTGATCAGGTTGGACTTGTGGTGCATTGTTTGTTGTTGCTCACACCAGGTAAATAGCCCCTATTGCACTGTTAACTGGGAAGAAGCATTGAGCAGTTAATCACTCACTGAGTGATCTCCACCACATTGGGTTTGATTTGACTTCTAAGAGCCCAGGATGGTTGTGAATGAGTGCAATGGGAATAAAACATTTGACGGTGGAGTCCTGGGTGGAAATTATTCTATTGAGTATTTTTTTTTCATAGATAGGACTTTCTGCACCCAGAAAATGTGCAAGATGCCCTCAATGCTGCCAATTCAATATACAATATACAGTCAATTCACTTTACAGTGTGTTCTGTGAAGCGCTTTGGGACGTCCTCCCGACGTGAAAAGCGCTATATCAAATGCAAAGATTATTATTATTATTATTAATTCTGCCCTATTTTTCACACCATGTTTAAGAGGAAATTGAGCTTGAACTAAAATAGTGACACTTGAATGTAACATTTAAATGTATTGTGATGATTTCAGTTGGAATGATATTTCACCATCCCATTTCTCAAAACCTTTCAGAATTTGCAGACTGCCATTCCATCACTTATTGAGTTTCCCTATTGCAGTGAAAAAGAACCTAATGTCTGTTCCTAAATCTTATAACTAAAAATCCATCATTATTGAGTCTTTCAGTGACTCTAAAGCCCATTAGGGATTGTATGGCAGTATTCCAACTGCCTTGTATAGTGTTTCCTTGTTTTTGTGTTCAAATTATAGACATATGTAGACTAAATATTAAATAAAATGCACAGAACATTTAGCCAAAATCTAACTACACTTAGAAATGTATGCACAGGCATTCCTGATCTCTCTGGACCTCAATGTCAATAAGAACGATACAATTTAGGTTTTACTTCCTTTCTTTACCTTTTCCCTAAATATACTGCCTGAACATTAAACAGTACCTGCCATCTCTCTCTCTTGTCATGTATGTGAACCTCCACAGTGCTCTTCCCTTAGCTCTGGTGCCTATTCAGTAATGGAACGCCCAGAACTGTTCCAATTGCAGCCAAACCAATGTTTTGAATACATTTTATATCCCTTTGCCTTTATACCACTTTGCTGCTATATATAAAAAAGCAGATACTTAAGTACTTTTTTAAGGCTTTTTTTCACAAAAGCATTCATTCAAACATTTCTGCTAATGCTTGAAAGTTGACTTGACGTTTGCATTATTGCTACAGCAATAATCTACCAAAATAATCTTCAAATTTTATTTGAAAATGTAGTCTGTGAAGTAGTTAAGAGAGGGTCTATAGTTAGATGTTGCTTTTTAACGCAAACAAGTGTTACTAAAACATTCAATTAGTTATCTACCCATGTGTTCATGATTTTGTGAAATAGCCTGGATATATTTACATTGTCTATGTATCTTGGCATTTTAAAGAACTGGATCATGTTGTCTTTTCTCCAATTAGTTTAGCTCTGTAACTCTCCTATATTTTAGAACACTCGTGTCCTTGAATAACGACTAGGGGATCAAAAAGATAATTTAAGAGGAACTACCTCACACAGAGAGTTGTGAGAATGTGGAACTTGCTGCCTGAAGCAATGGTTGATAGGGCAGATGCATTCAGGAGGAAGCTAGACTTTCCCATGAGGGAGAAGGGAATAGAGGGGTATGGGAGAGAGAAAGGAACTGCTATATTTTTCTAAATGTCAATTCATACACAATATGGGTTCTCCAGACATTTATATAAATTAAGAATCACTTACAAATTTTCTTGAGAGGCAGTCTAGAGCTTGGCTGGTCTTATATTAGGTGTGAACCTTCAGTGACCTTTGTTTTGCCCACAAAATATATGGTCAAATTCAGAATATATTCTGTGAAGCATTTTGAGACATCTCAATGATGTGATGAAGTGCCATATCAAACTCAAGGATTATTATTTACTGCCTCCAAATTCTTCTTTGGGTACAACCAAGTGCTCTGGGACACTATATAAATGCAAGTTGTTGTTCTTCCCTTCTCACAAAATCCCAAGAGTAGTTTGGATGAAGAACAATAACAAATTACACTGATGTAGTACCTTTCACGTCGGGAGGGTGTCCCAAGGCATTGGACAGTCAAGGATTTGCACCTGAGCTGGGGGTTTGGGTCGTGGGGGTAGGGGGTAGGAGGGTCATCAAAGACGAGGAAGGTCTTAAGATGGAATTTGAAGCAACACGATTTGTTTCAACTTTGGCTCATTTGATTTTGCTCTAAAGTTGTCTCATTACAGTATGAAGCTAGTTTCTTAACTGAGCCCAGCATCCTGGTCTCAATTAGTCAATTACCCTTTCAGTAAAGAAATACTTCACGGTGTCTGTCCTGTAATTACCTTTTGCAATCCTGGGCCTGTGCCCTCGTTTGGCTTTGCAACAGTTTGCAGTTGTTCTATTAAGAGTTGAATTCTTAATCCAGATTTGCTTTAACTATGGAGCATTGTCATGTGCAAATATTTTCATCTATTCCTGCTATGAATAAGAACATAAATGCCTGCCAGCGCAATGCAGAGTGTCGTCACAAACTTTGAAGTTTGCTGTGATCATTAACCTTGTACCCCAGAGTTGGCATCTGCATTGACACTATATTGCTAGTTACTGATTTCAAAAATAATTATAGTCCTTTAATCCCAGTGAATTAAAGTCTTGCCATGTTGTTGTGTCTTCCTGTCAATTCACCAAATTTGTGAGAAATGCACAAACACGCACCAAGTATCCACACTTACTAAACTTTTGTCACTGGAATTTTGCTCTGATCCCTGTAATAACACATGGTGCTGAATGTTCTGCAGATATGTCAGCCGGTTCAGACTGCCTTACTCGATCTCGTCAGCACAATGCGTGCACGTCTGCACAGCATGCTGATAATAGTTTATTGGAGCTCGTGTTTTTTTTAAACAAATCGCTCGTAAATAAAATTACTACAGATTAAAACCAATACAGGAGTTCTAATTTAGGACCATACAGAGTCTGAGAGAACAATACTTAAGATGAGAGCGTCTGGAGCAAAATTCTGTTATTGGAGGGGAGATTAAAATAGAAGGCAGCAGAGTAAAGTCAGTGGATACTGTCTGTCCAGTTTTAATGCTCACTGGAGGCCCTGAAATTCTACCGGTTCTTTGACACTTTTGTCTTAAATCAATTAAGATTGTACACATCTTAAATTCAATCTTAATTCGGAAGCCAGGACTGTGGGAAAAGGCTTCCAAATAAAACTTGTTAGGGCTTGAACCCATAGCCTTCAGAGGACAGTACTGTTATCTGAACCAGACTGACGAGGTTAATTTGTTATTTTTGGCATGATGTTCAAAGCAATGAATTGTAATGAAAAATAACATTTTGGTGAATACAAAATGACAGACGGTATGTCAGTACCGCCCACAAAATACACAGTCAAATACACTTCACATCTATCCTGTGAAGTGCTTTGATACGTCTCAACGACGTGATAAGGCGCTACATCAATTGCAAAGGATTATTTGTTATTATCCGACTTTAATTCTTGGTCTCCTGCTTCTTTGAGCTGTGAACTTGACTAATAATGAGGTTGCACAACCTCTCCGCTGCATCTGTCGGGGATATGCTCTTGCAAGTGATCAGAGCCGAGGCTGTCTCTGGTGATAGCAGGGAGGTCAGGCTATTTTCTGCAGCCCGGGTTACTGCTGTCGTCTTGTGTTGCCCATTTATAGTGTACGGTAAATGGAGTAGGCCAATCTCGCATTCCCATAGATAGGCACTGAGCTCATTGCAGGCTCAGCAGTTTCAGGGAGTCATTGGCTATACATGGTGCTTGGCTCACTAAAATATTACACCTTCAATTTCATTTCATTGACTACTATTTATCACTGTGGTGCTTCCTGATTATTGATTGTCCCCTGAAGCTAAAGGAACCAGAGAGAAAGAGACAGAGAGAGAGTTGTGTTTCAGAATTTCAACCCTTTTTACACAATTCCTCATCGTGAATTGTTAAATAATTGGAAGGAAATGTTTGTAATCTGAAGGATTCTCCTGTGGAAGCATTGTTACACTTGTTTAAAAAATCTTTACATTTTCACCTTACGAGTCTCCATTTCATAAGTCGTGCTCCAAAGGGTCATTACACTGGTTTCAATTTATTCAGATTTGCATTGTAGTAAAACCTCTTTTATGGATTTCTTTTAAGACGCTATATTTGTTCATCTCTTCTAGGTTCTGAAGGTCTTCAAGCGATTGCAAGAGTTAAATATCACCATAGACATCTTGATGGTAAGCCTAAGCAATACAAATTTACATCTATACACAGTGCCTTTCACAACAGGAGGGTGTCCCAAAATTCTGGCTTGGCACCCAGGCTAAGAGCAGGAGGGGAGGTGGGGCTGGGAAAAAATGACCGACAGTGCTGTCTTGAAAGCGAGTCGGAGAGTTGATACGATTTGAAGGTTACAGAGGTAGGGTGGGGCAAGATCATGGAGGGATTTAAAAATGAGAAGGATCTTGAACTCAATCCCCTGGAAACGGGGAGCCAATGGAGCCGGGCGACAATATAATAATAATCCTTGCGTTTGATATAGTGCCTTATCATATCTTCGAGACGTCTCAAAGCGTTTCACAGAATATACTGTAAAGTGAAGTGACGGTATAGCTCGCAGAGCCTGTTATGGGAAAGGACACGGGCTGCAGAGCTTTGGTTCGTCTGTAGCTTGTGTAAGGAGGAGCTGTGCAGTCGGGTGTAATCAGGAGGCAGTTTTTCACACCGGAAGGCCTGCTCCACGTTCCTCGACCCACCTACTCCACCATTGGCGGGAGAGCCTTCAGCCACTCTACCCCCAACCTCTGGAATTCCATCCCCCCAATCACTCCACCTCACCCCCTCCTTAGCCTCCTTCAAGTCCAGCCTCAAGACCCTCCTCTTCGACCATGCCATCGGCCACCCCCCTTCCCCTCCCCTCCCTTCTCCCTCCCTGGCCCCAGCTCAGATCTGAAATGCTGTACACTGTCCAGCGCCTTGGGACGTCCTCCCGACATGAAAGGCGCTATACAAATGTAATCTTGTTGTTGTTGCAATGCCCATCTCCAACAAGAGAGAACCCAGTCACCTGCCCCATGACTGCTCATGGCACAGCCATTGCCAAGTCTCCCACCATCAACATTCTGGTTGGGATGGGGACTAGGGACCTTGCCATTGATGAGAAGCTTACTTGGGTTGGTCATAACAACACAGTGACTGATTATAAGATCACAGCAATAGTTTGAGTGACTGATCTCCCAACTCCTGCCAGCGTCATCCACATCCTGAAGTTAATTTTTTTTTTAAATGACTGATTACCAGCAGTTAGAATAAAGGGAAAAAAATCTTACAGTAAGTGCTTCATAGAAAATAATGTTAAAAAAAAATTGAGCACAACTTGGATGATTTGATCATTTAAGCTCACTGGGATGCTATCTTGCATGAGGGGTGCTATATAAATTCAAATTGTTGCTGTTCATCATACTCTACCCTTGGGTTGCAATGTAACATACTTTGTTGAGTGGCACTGTATGTTGAATTTTGTTTTAATGCAATTGTAATCTATTATCCCCACCTATGAATTTCTGGCATTCTCTTTGGGTTGATGGGAATTGAGTTAACACTTTTGGATTGTGGAGTCCTGTAGCTCAGTGGTTAGAGCACTCGCTTTGCAAGTGAGAGACCTGAGTTCAGTTTCAGGCAGAGGGCGAAACCTTGGGCAAGTTTCCTTACTCCACACGCCAAATAATAGTCCCTCCAAAAAATCAAAAACAATAATTAAATTGGTCATTTTCAATCTACGACTGTTTGTGGGACATTGCTGTGTGCAATTGGCTGCCGTGTTCGCCCACAAATATACAGTCAATTCACTTTACAGTGTGTTCTGTGAAGCGCTTTGGGACGTCCTCCCGACGTGAAAAGCGCTATATCAAATGCATGGATTATTATTATTATTGTTCAGTTATATGGTTTGCAAATAAAAGCTAGTTTGAAAATATCAAACTAACCACCTTTATCTCTAAATAATAATGCTTACATTTGATATAATGCTTTCATGACAGGAGGATATCTCAAAGATCTTCACAAGATGTTACTGTAAAGTGCAGGGACTATTTTATAGGTGAACGCAGAAACCAGTTTTGCACACAGCAATGTCTCACAAACAGCCATTAAGTGAATGACCAAATGTGTTTGGCACAAAGTCCCTATGGTTTTCCAGTTTTTTTGTTTTCCAGGGATCTTTAACATCTATCTGAACAAGCAGAAAAGACCTCATGTTGATGCCTCATTCAAACAATAGCACCTTTGACAATGCAGCACTCCCCCAGCACTGTGTTAGAATGTCAGCCGAGACTATCATAGAATTATACAGAATGTCAGCCGAGACTATCATAGAATTATACAGAATGTCAGCCGAGACTATCATAGAATTATACAGAATGTCAGCCGAGACTATCATAGAATTATACAGCACAGAAAGATGCCAAAACACAAAATACTGCAGATGCTGCAGACAGAAGGAGGCCATTCGGTCCATCGTGTCTGTGCAGTCTATTTGAAAAGAGCTACCCAAATCAATCCCACTCTTTCCACTCCCTGCAAACTTATCCTACCCATATAATTATGTACTTCTCTCTTAAAAGTTGTTATCGAATTGGCTTCCACCACCCTTTCAGGCAATGCATTTCAGATCAGAACAACTCAGAGTTCAAAAGTCCTAACATGAACCCACAAGCTTCTGACCTAGAAGTGAGAGTACTACCCAACTGATCAAGGCTGACACACAAATAAATAAGCAGGTTACACAAGGCTGATGTTTATACGGATGCAAACAAAAATTAGCTTTAGGACCCGATGGCAAACATAAAACATCTTGCAGAACGGGATTCCAGTGTTTGCTGAGAGGAGGTTTAGGAATCTGGAACTGGTAATCAGTGTGTGTCTTGAAACCAGAGTGTGGGAAAAGATTGCACATCACATCTCGCATCAGCACTTGAGTAAGCAACTGAGATGCTATTGTGCAATCTCAAGGGAAGGGTGGAGATGTGACTTGGAATATAAAAGACTGGTACAACTGAGTTTTGTGTGTAGATAATCGGGTGTGAATGGCTGAGAATTTACATTGTCATCACCAGATGGTTAGTAAACGAGCAAATGGGGAGGTTAGGGGAATTTCTTTTCAAGCACAGTAGTTAGGATATCGAATGCCCTGCTGAGAGCGCTAAGTTATTTTATAAGGGTGTTGGACACTTTAGTTACAACAACATACATTTTTATAGCGTCCTTCACGTAAGGAGCATTGTGACAAACACCTGGCTGACCGAAACCAAATTAACCAGAAATGGCTGTGTCACTTTTCTATGACCTTAAACCCATTGGCATGGCTTGTCTTTGATCTTCCAAAATTCTCTGGATTCTGGAACGGTTCCCATTTATTGGAAGATTGCAAACGTAACACCACTATTTAAGAAGGGTGGGAGAGAAAAGATGGGGAACTATAGACCAGTTAGTCTGACATCAGTGGTAGGGAAAATTCTTGAGTCCTTAATTAAAGATGTTGTTATGGGATTCTTGGAAGACCATAACAAGATTAGGCAGAGTCAACTTGGCTTTACAACAGGGAAGTCATGCTTAACTAATCTTTTAGAGTTTTTTGAAGATGTATCTAGCAGGTTAGATAGGGGGGAACCAGTAGATGTAGTTTATTTAGATTTTAAAAAGGCATTTGACAAAGTGCCACACAAGGTTAAGGCCCACGGGATTAATGGGAACATATTAGCATGGATTGAAGAGTGGCTAACAGGTAGAAAACAGAGTATGGCATTCACTACCCCAGGAGGCTGTAGATGCTCAGTCCTTGAACATCTTCAAGGCTGAAACTGATAGATTTTTAAAAAATAGAGGGATTAGGGGATATGGGGATAGGGCAGGTAATTAGAGTTAGGTCAGAAGATCAGCCATGATCTTATCAAATGGCGGGGCAGGTTCGAGGGGCCAAATGGCCTACTCCTCTAATTCTTATAAATAATAATAATCCTTGCATTTGATATAGCGCTTTTCACGTCTTCTAGACGTCTCAAAGCGCTTCACAGAATATACTGTAAAGTGAATTGACTGTATATTTGTGGGCAAAACGCAGCATCCAATTGCGCACAGCAGTGTCCAACAAACAGTCGTGGGTTGAAATGACCAATTTATTATTGTTTTTTTTCTTGAGGGATTATTATCAGGCATGTGGAGTAAGGAAACTTGCCCAAGGTTTCACCTGCCAGGAATTGAACCCAGGTCTCTCACTTGCAAAGCAAGTGCTCTAGCCACTGAACTACAGGACTCATTGTGCATTGGTACACAATGCAGCTTTATATTTTTAAACCAACGTAAACGTTTAAATTTGCATTCAATAAATGCATTGAATAATTGTACTGTACAATAGTGGAGTACTTGGCTTTGTCTCTACAGATTGTAGTGTGCTATTAAGACCACGTGTGTGTAACTTTATATGCCAGTTTTCTTCTGTGTCCCTTTCATCTCTCTGTACTGTATGACCAGCCCTTTTCTAGTTCAGGTAATACGGAACTGGTTTCTTTGATTTCTTGTTTGTTTGCTCTGACCTGTTTTCTGTAACTAGGCTGCTTTGTATTTGTTTTTTGTTGTGCCATTTCCTCCCCTTTCACCAATTTTGTTTTTAAAAAAATTGTTGCGCAAACTATACAAATCAAATTACATCTCTGACGCTTACTACAACAGCTGGATGGCCTTACTCCAGCACCTAGAGTCTGTGACTGGAGGAACTGGGACATTTTCTCCTAGAACAGAGAAGGTTGAGATGTGCCCTAACACAATTATGAAAGGTTTTGATAGAGCCAGTAGGGAGATTTTTTTCCCCCCACTGGTCAGTGAGTCAGTAATTAGATGGCATCAATTTAAGATGGTTAGTAAACAAGCAAATGAGCAGGTTAGGGGAATTTCTTTTCAAGCACAGTAGTTAGGATATTGAATGCCCTGCTGGGAACGATGGTTGAGGCACAATCCATATTGGCCTTCAAAAGGAAACGGACATTTACCTTAATGAATCAGCTACAGAGGTTTGGAGAAAGGACAGGTAAATGGGACCGAAAGGATTGCTCTTGAGGGAGTCAACACAAACACGATTGGCAGAATGACCTCCTTCTGTGCTGTAAATTTCTGTGGTTCTGGTGAGGTCTTAAATCTGTTGGATGTCAAATGACCGATTAGTGACTAACAACAACTTACATTTATATAACTTCCCTCACGCAGGGTGGCGTCCTGCAGCAGTTGACTATTTTACTGTGGGGGGTGGGAATGCAAGGTGGTGTCTCCTTGGAGATGAGCTGGCAAAGGAATGTTGGAATCAAGTAAACTCTCCATGCTACTTTGTTTTTATGCGAAAGGTATATAAGGTTGTGGGTTTCGCCCACAAAATGTACAGTCAATTCAGTTTACAGTATATTCTGTGAAGCACTTTGTGACCATCTCAAAGACCTGATAAGGCGCTATATCTAATGCAAGGATGATTATTATTTACTTATAGTCATTGTCTAGAACTGCACCCTCGGTTCCTTTTCTCACATTATTAAAGTAGCACTGTTGTTTGACAGTCTACACAGGAATTACACTCTCCACTGTTTTCCACAAGTTCTAGGAAAGATTTGAAGAGCTTGAATTTTTTTACTAAATCCTTGGTACAGGGCAGAATAAATGGGCTGTTAACGGAATACAGCATTTTCAAGACTGAAGTGAATAGATTTTTATTAGGTCAGGGTATCAAGGGATATGGAGCAAAGGATGGTAAAGGTAAGTTGAGGTACAGATCAGACAGGATCTGATAGAATGGTGGAACAGACGTGATGGGCTGAATAAACTACACCTTTTCTAAGGTTCCTATGGAATGATTTGCCACAAAGGGGCTAATTTAAGCACCTCAGGCGCTGACACCATCAGCATCCAAGGCTGCACTCTCCACCTCTCAAAGCCAGTCAGGAACCTCGGCGTTTTGTTCGACCCTGAGCTGTCCTTTCTCCCTCACATCCGCACCACAACTGGCACCGCCTTCCATCACCTCCGGAACATCGCCAGACTACGGCACTACCTCACCCCTCACGCTGCTGAAACCCTGGTCCACGCCTTTGTCACCTCAAGGCTGGACTATGGGAACTCTCTCCTCGCCGGCCTTCCCGCCACCTCCCTCCACAAGCTGCAGGTCATTCAGAACTCTGCAGCTCGTGTACTGTCCCGCACCAGGCTTCGGGACCACATCACTCCCACCCTCGCTCGCCTCCACTGGCTCCCCATCCCCCAGAGGATTGATTTCAAGATCCTCATCCTCACCTACAAGGCCATTCACGGCCTCGCTCCCTCCTACCTCTCCAACCTACTATCCCCTACCTACCTACCCGTACCCTCCGTTCCTCTGGCTCCGGTCTGCTCCACGTCCCCCGCCCCAACCGCCCTACTATCGGTGGTCGGGCCTTCAGCCTCTCAGCCCCAGGCTCTGGAACTCCATCCCCCAGTGCCTTCGCCTTGCTTCCTCCCTTTCCTCCTTCAAGGCCGGTCTCAAAACCTTTCTCTTTGACCGTGCCTTCAGCTCCCCTCTCGACTCTCTTCCCCTCCTCGCTCCCTCCCTTCCCTCCCTCACCCTGACCATTTCCCCCCTCCTCGCTCCCTCCCTTCCTCCCCTCACCCTGACCATTTCCCCCCTCCTCGCTCCCTCCCTTCCCTCCCTCACCCTGACCATTTCCCCCCTGCTCGGGTCATGACCCAACTGTGCAGCGCCTTGGGACGTCCTCCTGACGTGAAAGGCGCTCTGTAAATGGAATCTTGTTGTTGTTGTTGTTGTAATTGAAGATGAGATCATAGTAATATTTAAAATAGAATTAGGTCAACAGCAGATTACATTTGTATAGCGCCTTTCACGTCAGGAAGACATCGCAAACATTTGAAAAATGAGAATATTATATTAAAAAAAGGTTTGGAGAAAGAATTTGGGATTAGATTAGTTGGCTCAATTGGATGAACTGGCACAGTCTTAGACTCATTAGCCAGTCCTATATGCTGTTATTTCTAGTGAAGGAGAATGACTTGTTTCTTCAAGAGGAGGTGGCTGAGAGGCTGAACTACTAGGTCAACTGGTGTATTCATGGGTACGATACAAATGAGAAGAGGGTCATAAGGGTGCGAATATGGTTGCAAGGTTACAAAAAGGATTGTATCCATAAAGGCTATGGCTCAAAACTATTAGTTTGTTCTCAAACTGATACCTGCATAGATACCCTTCACATGACACAGGAGCTTGGACTATAGCCCAAGGCATTCCTATTCTATGAATATACTTGGATAGTATGACAGAGATCCACTTACACTTTTCAAAATAAAATTCTAGATCTTCCTTTCTCAGGGAATTTTAGTTTTTCGTGACCAAATCAAAGCCACTTTGCAATCCTTTAAATTGCAAAACTTAAATTTTAAAACAGTGGTAATAATCCTTACATTTGATATAGCGCCTTATTACATCTTCGAGATGTCCCACAGAATATACTGTCAAGTGAATTGACTATATTGTGGGTGAAATGCAGCAGCCAATCGTGTATAGCAGTGTCCCACAAACAGTCGTGGATTGAGTGACCATATTATTATTATTTGTTTATTTTGATGGGGTTATTACCCCCGGAAAAGCGATCTGCCAATTGGCTAACAACTTACTGTTCGGTAAGGAAACTTGTCCAATATTTCGCCCTGCCTGGGAATCAAACCAGGTCCTCTCGCTTGCGAGGTGAGTTATCAAGCCACTAAGCTACAGAACTGATAGAGGCAATGCTCTAAATGCCTCTAAGAGTGCATCTCTCTCAGGCCACTGAAGCCCTCATCAGCGCCTTACCTTGTGGTTTGATTTGCTTAATCGTCCTGCTCGCCAGATTCCCCAGCTCCTCCTTCCACAGACTGACCAGCGCCTTGGGACGTCCTCCCGACGTGAAAGGCACTCTATAAATGGAATCTTGTTGTTGTTGTTGATATGAAGAGCTCTGCAGACTGTGTCCTCTCCAGCACTAGGCTCTTACGAGCCCATCTTCACTGTTGTTGCTCGGCTCCACTGCCTCTCCCTCAGTGGATTGAGTTCAAGATTCTTGTCCTCGCATGCAAATGGCACCTCGTTGCCACCTCCCCACCCTACCTCTGTGATGCACTGCCCCGGCTGCTCCTTCCGCTCAGCAAACGTCAGTCTGTTTGGTGTGCCCCACCTGAACAACCCCACGATCAGTGGGTGAACCACTCTTTGGAGCATCACTGCAGAGTCCCTTCGCTTTGCTTCTCCCCCTTAAAATCTGCCTTGTATCCTAGCTCTTGAACCATGTTTTCGATCACTTTTTCCCCCCAGCTTGGCCTCCCAGTCAGCTATGCTTTGAGACATTCTTAATGCCGTTAACTGACTTACTACTTGCTGATGATTGATTCTTGCTCTTGCTGATTGTACACTGACTTCAGACAAGCTCCACTGTATAAGAAAGACCCTGTTGTACACCCTGTTATAACATTATCCATAAATACTGGGATCCATAAATCCTAGCCAGTGATATGACGGTGCTCGATCAATAGTGAAGTAATCTGTAAATTGTTAATGTCCTCTCACCTCAGGGAGTGCAACAAAGAGCAAGAAATATGACTAAGAATAAGCCTTGCACTTAATATGGCGCCTTTCACATTAGGAGGGGACGTCTTGAAATGCCTCACAGGATTTCACTGTGAAGTGTAGTGACTGTATATTTTGCAGGTGGTCGGGTATTAACACTCCGCATTCACTCAGCCATTGGAACTGATTTCACTTTGCTGCCTGTGGGAGAGATGGGATGTGAAGTTTTCCAGCTATATCCCCCAGCCCTCCCCCCAAAAAAAACAATCATTTTCTATTCCTTCTCTTCAAACTGTTGTGTTTTTAATGTAAAAAATGTTGCATTCCCCTGCTTTACAATTCCTTTATTCTTGTTTTATAGGAAACGGGAATAGGGAAAACAGTGAATAAATTCAGAAAAGATAATACTGTTGGTGATGTTGCCAAAGACTTGATATCCCACTGGAAAACATTAGTTCCTCAGGAAATACCCAGGTAGGTACTCCTGTAGCCTGGAGTCCTGTAGCATATTGGTTAGAGCATTCGCCTTGCAAGCAAGAGGACCCGGGTTTGATTCTTGGGCAGGGCAAAACATTAGGTAAGTTTCCTTAGTCCACACACCTCTGTTACCTAGCAGTAGGAACCTGGTTGTTAGTCGATTGGTGGATCATTTTTCTGGGTGTAATAATCCCTTTTTTAAAGACAAAATATACGGTCAATTCACTTTACAGTATATTCTGTGAAGTGCTTTGAGTTGTCTGAAAAACGTGACCAGGAGCTACATCAAATGCAAGGATTATTATACATGCTCCAACTAGAGTGATGGGCATAAGCCTTTAATAATCCTTCAATGCAATTCAGCACAAGTCTAGGTGAGGAACTAACGCAGAATGGATTTTTAATTTCAATGCAATGGAGAAAAGGGTGTTGTCTATTTTCTGTACTTGAATGACTGTTGAATGATCAGAAATTCACAGGAATCTACCTGTCTGAATTAGTTGCATGTTTTAATCTTTTAACTTGTTTGAGGAGAAAACTGTAGAACTGTTCAACTCCCTTCCAGCCCACACCAAGAGGTGCAACTGCAAGACTAAGGGAGGCGTGATTTAAGGGGGTATTTTCCTACTGGTTCCAGTGCTAATACTGATCTGCATTACTACCTGCCAAAGGATTCTTGCTGAGGGAAATTGACTTCAGACTGTACATGGTAGACCCTGTTGGTTAACCTGTCATTAACATAGTAGGTGTCAATGACAAGGCTCGATCATTTGTCCTGCTTCCCCATTTGCTGTGATGACTCAATGACTGGAAGTTGGCCAATTTTTTTTACACAGAAAGCCAACAAGGCTGTCTTCTGTATATGGTGTCGCTGCCCACGTCATTTGCAGTGTGGAGAAAGCCACTAGCCTCACAACATATAACCTAACCCACCTGCGCTGGGTTAACATCTCAAAGCGCTTCACAGGATACACTGTAAAGTGGATTGACTGTATTATATGGGTGAAATGTAGTGCCATGATGTGCAACCAAACTTATGAGTAGGGTAGGTTGCACATTCAGATACTGTGCATCAACAGCAACAAAATTACATTTGTTTGGGCCTTTCATGTCGGAGGACGTCCCAAGGCGCTGGACATACAGAGTTACAGACCCGAGGTGGTGGAGGGCGAGGGGGGGGGTGGAAAGCAGGGAGATCGAAAGCAACAACTGCGCTCCTCACGCAGGGCACGCCCACAAATATACAGTCAATTCACTTTACAGCATATTCTGTGAAGCGCTTCGAGACGTCTAGAAGACATGAAAAGTGCTATATCAAAAAAAGTGTAGCATCCCAGAGCACAATGCAGAATCTGGGTCCATAGGTTGGTAAGAGCCAAAGCTTGGGGACCCCAGAGTGTGCGTTGGGTTTAAGCAGCTAAAACCACATTGTTTCCCATTGAAAGCATTAAATGGTAAGCTCTCCCTTGCTTGTCTAGCTAGGACCACCCTCCCCATTAGGGCTTGCAGAGTTAGCAGAATAATACAGTTTTTTGTTTATTTTCATAAGCAGAGTTATTGTAATTTCAGATTTTTTTAGTTTGGGACTATGCCTACACTATATACTGCCACTATACTTTACATTAAATCCTGTGAAGCTCCTTGAGATGTCCTCCTGACATGAAGGACGGTTATGAAATGGTATATGAAATGCAAAATGCAAGTAGTGCATTATTATAATTTAGGATGTACAATTGGTTTTAATAATATCCTTACATTTGATACAGTGCCTATCACATCGGGGGTACATCTCAAAGCACTTAATATGATATATGTAAACTATAGCAAGTGCATTTTGTAGGCTTGGCAACAACCAATTTGTGCACAACAATGTCCTCCACACAGCTATGAAGTAAGAGACCAATTTTATCTAGAGGATTGTTGGTCAGGACACCAGGAGAATCTCCCTTCTCTTTTTGAATAGTGCCTTGGAATCTTTAACAGTACTTTGGTTTAACGTCCCATCCAAAGGGAGTAATTAAGTGTCTCGTTACTTGAATTTCTTTGTTATATTCTGTTTAATTTGTTGAACTATGAAGAAAAATCTATGGGATAGAAAAGTTTATCTTTTTCCCCTTTTATCAGCTCCCAAACTCAACATAAGAATAAGAACAGCCAACGTAATTCCAGGAAGACAAGCAAGCACAAGTCACCTGAGCTCTCATGTCACAAAAAGACCTCGCACTCAACAAAAGTGAATAAATGTCCAAAAGCCTCAAACGAGAATGAAATTTCAGTGAAAACCGAGATGGTTGAAAGTCACCAACAGCTTCCAGAAGCCAACGGCGATCAGTTGAAGATTAGTGGGTGTGAGGCATCGCAGAAGAGAAATCGAAAGTCATCCAGAAAGGTTCAGGATAAAAAGAAGGGCTCTTCCCATAAGGACCAAAGTAGATCCGTGGGAAAGGATAAAACGTCTACTGGCAGACGTCAAGAGAACGAGAAGTATCCTGCAGAAAATTCCCCGTCTTCCCACAACGCCTCCCGTCAGGAGAGGGCTCCGTCTGACAAGGACGCTCGTGAAAATGCTGAAAAACGAAGCAACAAATCTGCAACCGCCGTGAAGCATTCCAAGCTGCGCAGCAAGACGCACAAGCGTTCTGCAAAGGATAAAGAGAAGCGTAAATCCGATGCGTCCAAGAACGTGCCCAAGGTGGCTGAAGAGTCCGTTAAAAAGGGAAATTTACTTGAAGTTCAAAGTGAGGATGAATTTGAAAGCCAACGTACGTCTTTCGAGTCATACCTGAACTATGAGGAGCCCCTGAAGAGAACCAAGAAAGCCCAGACCTCAAAGAGGTGTGAAGACGTCCAAATGTGCAACGCTCCAAAACGGGAGCACGATGGGGCTGGGAAATCTCTCAGTGGCGGAAACAAAGGGAAGAGGGATTTAAAATACAGGGCGGAACAACGTGGGAAAGATATCTGGCTGGAAACTCCAAGCAAAAAGGTACACGTTTTTGATTTTTTAAAAAAAAAAAACTCTTAACAAAAATGATTGAAATAGCGAGTGCGCTAACCAGGATTCCAGTATACCTGTAACCCTCCCCCCACTCCGCTGTAGAGTCTTTTTTATTTAATGGAAGGTTGGAAAACCGATGCTTGCCCTAATGTTAGCCCTCGCCATGTAACATGTTAGAATTTTATGATGTCCAATTTTGTTGAATAGTAACTTTTGTCCTGAGCTTTCATTGAGTTTCTTCTGCATTCCGTTCCTTAGGCAAAAATGGACATTAGTGCTTTGCTGGATATCCCACTACCTCAATTTCTGCCGGAATTTTCCATTCTGCCCCCTGACAGCCCACCAACATCGCCTACAAAGAAATGTAAGTGAATTACCGTGTCCTTTCTCCTTTGAATGGAAAAGCAAAGAATTGCTGAAAGAGTCTTCCTGTGTCGTGATCTTAATCTGTTTCTCAAAAATTAAGCATTTAGCCACTATACCCTTAACTCTCTTGTCTAAATCCTTCCCTCTCCATTTGTCTTTAAACCTTGCTAAAACCTACCTTTTCTACAGTCACTCAGCTCCTGTTAACCCTGCAAGCCAAAGCCCTAACAGGTAGGGTGATCCCAGCAAGACAAGCAGCGGGAAAGCTTGCCAGACAGCGATATCAATGGCAAGTTATGTGGTTTTAGCTGGTTAGACTCCAGCAGTTACCCCAACGCACATTGTGGGGGTTCCCAAGCCTTGGCTCTTGCCAACCTGCGCCTAATACTTTCCGGAATTGGGTAAACAGGATGCCTCCCTCCAGGGAGAGAGTACACATTCTATTCCAGCAATCTATCTCTGGGATTCCCATGTGTAGGTGGGATGCGTGGAATTCTCAGCTTGGTTTGGATACTCTTAACTATAATGATATATTAGACACCTGACTGACCTATATATATATATTTTTAAATTCTACTGTCTATGGTCCTGTCCTCACTCTCCATGATAAAAGCTCTTTGAAAGATGTTGCCTCATATGAATGGACTTATGTACATGTAAGTCGTTGTGGATGTGCTTTCTAGGTTCCCATCAATTACTCTAGATCTAGTCGTGAAGCTACTCTATTATCAAATAAAACAACAAAAAAATCATGATTTCTTTAAGATGTTTTAGACATTGTAATCTGTAGCCTTAAGTGCTCTGAGTCACTACCCTGCATGGAGGGCACTATATAAGTACAAGTTGTTGTAATGGTATCACAACTTTTTGGTCCCTCTGTAGTTGCCGTGGAGCAGACTAGTACTGTGTGCTCTAGTCCCAGACTAGAGCACATGGCACGATCCAAATGGAAATAATTGCACTGATTCCAAATGCAAATGTTCTGTAATCTTCTGCAAATGCAGAATCAAATGCAGTAAATTATGCAGGAACTTCCTTACTAGATTCACCCCACCCTTTCAGCAAGGCATCTCATGTGGTTCCACACTTCATTTTATTTTCATTTAATTCCAGGAATGTGAGCTAACGACTCGCAAGCTGTTGTGAAACAGCTCAGGTTTCTGATGGAGAAACTGATGTTTGTTTCCCTCTTTTTGTACCAGCAGCGACCCTCAACACCTCCTGTGAATCTACGGAGTTCACTGGGCAAAGGCTAAACTCTAAAATGCAAGTGTATTCTGGCTTGAAAGCTACTAACTTGCCCAAGATGATGACCCTGTATGAACAGTGCATTCGTGTGCTCCAGAACAACATTGATTGTAAGAATATATAAAATACAGTCACACTTCACCTGCAAAATACATATATTACAGTAAAAAAAACACACTGAGACTTCTTCCCGACTTCAAAGGGGTCGTATCAAACACAAGAATTATTTATTGTGTAGTAAAATGGGACTTTCCTTTTTTTTTAATTAATGTCAAAGACAAGTCTCAAAAGAATAGAAACATGGCAAAATATCATTCATGGACTTTATTTATATAAAGGGATGGCATCTTTTCCTTAACCAGTAGAGCAGGTGCTCTTAATCTCTGACAATTGGGCTCCATAACCGACCGCTTAGAGATGCAGGCATATTCTCTTCCTTGTGCGTCCGTCTGATGTGGTGGTTTGAATTGCAAGTCTCTTTACTCCACACGCCTATTTACCCAACAGTAAGTAGGAACCTGGTTGTTAGTCGGTTGGCGGATTGCTTTCTGGTGGTAATAATCCCTTTACTTAAAAAAAATTGGGCACTCAATCCAATACTGTTCGTGCACAATTGGCTGACATGTTTCACCCACAAAATAGTCAATTCACTTTACAGCATATTCTGTGAAGCGCTTTGAGACTTCTTGAGATGTGATGATATAGTGGAGGGTCCTGTAGCTCAGCAGTTAAAGAACTTGCTTGGCAAGTGAGAGGCGAGAGATGTGGGTTCGTTTCCCGGCAGGTTGAAATCTTGAGCAAGTTTCCTTACTCCACATGCCTAATAATAATCCCTCAAGAAAAACAAACCAAAAGATAAATTGGTAATGTCCATCCCCGGCTGTTTGTGGGACACTGCTGTGCGCATTTGGCTGCCGCATTTCGCCCACAAATATGCAGTCAATTCACTTTATAGTCTATTCTGTGAAGCGCTTTGAGACATCTAGAAGATGTGAAAAGTGCTATATCAAATGCAAGGATTATTATATTATCACTCTGGCAGATGGAAGGTAAATATGTCCACCATCTGTTTTGGTAGTGGTTTAAATTATGGTGTTGCCATCCTTCCCACTTTTCTCTGTGTTCCCCAGCTATTCACACAGTGGGTGGAGTGCCGTTTGAAATCCTCGAGCCAGTGCTTGATCGCTGTACTCCAGAGCAGCTCTATCACATTGAGGACTGTAACCCGGTGAGGAAACTCCTGATGCTGAGACCCTGTTTTCTATTGTCCTGTACCAGTCCGCCTTGCGCACCCCCGCCAGCCCTGTCTTTGTGTCTCACTACCTCTGCAGACTCATCCGTGGCCACCTCCCATTCCCAACCTTTCCACTCCCCCCTCTCCCTTGCTTGGAGCACAAACCCACCCCTGTCAAGCGCTCCAATACATTACCCTATTCCTCCATAACCAGAGCTAATTCAGTACAGCTTGGGATTCAATAATAATAATCATAATAATAAACCTGTGACTTGCTAATCTTTGTCAATTTGTGGTGCAGCTCCTACCCCTACCCTCCCCGCCCTCCACCCCTCCTGATCCCAACCACTCGCTGTCCAGTGCCTTCGTACGTCCTCCTGATGTGAAAGGCGCTATACAGATGTAATTTCTGGTTGCAGCGTCAGTCAGTGAACTTCCCCGCTGAATCTTTTGGTGAAGCTGTAAATAAAAAAAAAAAAACCAGCCCCTTCCCGAACAGCGTTTCACAATTCAAATTGACAATGCCTGGAAGTGCTCGATAAGAATTGAGATCCAGAAAGTTGAGCGCACACTTAAGGCATTCTGTTTGAACCTCCTGTGTGTTTTGAGCAGAGCTTTGTTGAAGAGACTGACTGTTTCTGGGTGAAGCACTGCAAAAGATACTTCAAAAGCAAGCGGTTGCTGCAGGATGAATCGTGGCGGGAGATGTACTTGAGACTTTACAGTGAGAGAGAACGGAGGCTGAAAGTGTTGACACAAAGCATTAGTTCAGCACATGCCAATAAGCCCAGAGGTGAGACAAACACATTGCATTGCTGATCTCCTTTCTCTATAGACCATTATCATGTCCAGGACCAGTGCTCCGAGACCCTATCCTGCCTGCTGGGCACTGTATAAATGCAAGGTGTTGTTTGTGGTTAAAAATCATTAATATTAGTAATGATCCATCGATCAGATCTGGGCCACTAATATCAGGGGTGGGTGTCCAAGGTTGGGGACCATTGTTAGAACAGAAGTGGAGGAAGATTTGACATTGACGAAGGGCAGCCCCATTATAACTTGCCTCACAAATTACAACTTGCATTTATATAGCACCCCCCTCCCCCCCCCCCCCCCCCCCGCCCTCATGCAAGGCAGTGTCCCGTTGTGCTCGTGCGTCAGCCTGGTGCAGTAGTAGCTCTGTCGCCTCTGAGTCAGAAGGTTGTGGGTTCAAGCCCCATGCCAGGACTTGGAATCATGTAGTCTATGATGCAGTACCAGGAGGTGTTGCATTGTCTGAGGTGCCATACTTCAGATGAAATGTTAAACAAAAGTCCTGTCTGCCTGTTCAAGATCCCATTACACTGTTCAAAAAGAGAAGAGAGTTTCTCCCAATGTCCTGGGCAATCCCCCAGATAATATTGGTCAATCACTCCATGCATGTTTGTAGGACATTGTCGTATGCAACTCGCTGCTATTTTTTAAAAATACATTTTACAGTATATCCTGTGAAGCGCTTTGTGACGTCTCAATGACCTGATAAGGTGCTATATCAAATACAAGGATTATTATTATGTGCAGTTAAGCAAGCTATTGCACCTCACAATAACTCAAGTTGGGATTTTATGGATCCCCAAAATCATGTTTATAATAGAGGGAGGGCACTGTACATCAAACATAAAGGGTGGTTGTTGAATCCTCCTTTCATCCCCCAAATATCTTAATGTTCCAATAAATTGCAGAAACTATCGCTCGGGTCTAGGCTATTTAGTTCTGAAAACTTCAATATATGGTTTCCCTTCATTGCAACCCTATAGTCAAACCTAATCAACTATTAACTTGGGTACAAGTCAGAAGAAATGATTCTAACCTAAATGATGGTTGGGGAGAGTACAATTTTTTACCTCTCCTCAACAGATCAACCCAGGAAAATAATTGTTATTTTTAATCTGAACAAACACTTTAGGGCCTACAATTTGCAACATGAAATCTTGCTTGACAATAAGTAAGGTGGACTTCTGGATGGGAAAGGGGACAAACCACATACTGGGAGGGATTTGTTGCCATCTGGTGGTTGATAATTATTGAGGGAACACAACACTTCACCCCGATTATTCCAAATTTGGTCTTCCCAGTGATCTGTACAAGGTTAGAATATTTTCTTCTGGCTTTTACCCAATTTAATATTTGACTTTACGATTGCAATTGCTCACAAATCACACCAGGATCCTTCTCCAACTTTTCTAATTGTAATATAATACAGTAATAACTTGCATCATGTCGGGAGGATGTCTGAAAATGCTTTACAGTATTTGCTATTAAGTGTAGTGTCTACATTTTGTAGGAGAACCAATCAATAACTTCCACTGAATATTTAAGACATTGGGAATTAATAATGGGTATAAGATTGCTTTTGTTCCGGTAACCATGACAATTTAAAGTACTGTATATTATCCCTAAACCACACAGGCTTCACATTTTCTCTGCAGATTCTTAAATTTAACTCTGGGAGAATTTTGTCATTTTAGATGATAGCTTGACAGAGTACTTCTATTTTGTGAGAAGGTGCCCTGCCCACACGTCTGGATTTGACACTGATCAGTGACGGTATTATATCGCATTAATTGATCAGTTTGGTAAAATGCCACATGAGTGCAATATCATTTGAGAAATCTGAACTCTTTGAGAAATCAAAACGTACAATTTAATTTTAACTTTAAACTTTCATTGTCCTTTCATAGGTGTCAAAAGGGGAACAACCATCAGACTCTCTGATCAGAAAGTTGTGGGTTGAAACCCCACGCGAGGATTTTGAGGTCATAGTCTGGGCTGACACTCCAGTGCTGTACTGGGAGAGGCTGCATTATCAGATGTGCCGTCCTGCAGATCAGACTGAGATCTTTTCTGGCTGTTCAGGACAGTGCAAAAGATCCTATGACATTCAAAAAGAAATGTCCTGGCCAACAATCATCTAGATTTCTTAAAAAAAAAAAATTGGTTGCTCACTCGCATCATTGATGTTTGTGGGGCATTGCTTTGTGCAAACTGGTTGCTGTGTTCATCGGCAAAATAGGCATTATACTTTACATAAAATGTAAATCAGTTTGAGAAGTACCTAATCTTATAATAATAATAATCATCATCGTTGCATTTGATATAGCACCTTATCAAGCCTTCGAGACGTCTCAAAGCGCTTCACAGAATATACTGTAAAGTGAATTGACTGTATATTTTGTGGGCGAATAGGTGGTACAGCGAATGCAAGGATGATTGTGTATAAAAGGTGGGGTCTATAGCAGTGGTTGGGTGCAGAAGTTATTTGGGTAACTTGAGCAGCAATTCTGCCTTCAGGTCGTCAGGTGAAGCTGGCGTACATCAATACCTCAGCAAAGCGACCTCACAACACTCGCCGGTGGCAACAGGAGAAACATGGAACATCTGCTCAGAGTTCTCCCTTCGACCAGAACAAGTAAGGGTTCGTCTCATCTGATGTGCACTATACAAATTTTTAAATGAAGTGTGATTAATTTTTCACACTTTTCAGTTTCACGTTCAGCGAGCTCCAATTTCAAGTATTTACAAAAATACTTGAGAATTTCCAACTACGAAACAACAATTGCAACATTTTCACATTGGCCATTTTTTTTTTTAAAAGCACAGAAAGTCAACAAGGCTGACTTCCGTATAATGTGTCTCCACCCGTATCATTTGCAGTGTGGAGAAAGCCACTGGCTTCGCAATATATAACCTGACCCACCTGCGCTGGTGGGTTGTTATGTAATAATAGTCCTTGCGGTTGATATAGAGTCTTTGAGATGTCTCAAAGTGCTTCACTAAATCTACTGTAAAGTGTAGTCACTGTATTTTGTGGGCGAAATAGAGGATAGAAGGGGTGCAGTACTATGCACAAAGAGTGACCACAAGTAGGTTCACACCACTAATTTTCCTCTCAGCTCAGTTGGAAAAGCAAGGGAACTTGTGGCACATACACACATAATTAAACAGAGTGATATCATAGAATCCTACAGCACTGAAGGAGGCCATTCGGCCCATCGTGCCCGTGCCGGCTTTTTAAAAGAGCTGCCAACTAATCCCACTCCTCTGCTCTTTAATGACAGCCTTGCATTTTTTTTTTCTTTTCAAGTAAATATCCAAATCCCTTTTTTTTTTAAAGTTATTATTGAATCTGCTTCCACCACCCTTTCAGCAGTGCACATGGAATGAAAACGTTCAGCCCAACCAGTCCATGCCAGTGCTTACCCTCCACACGAGCCTTCGCCTTTCCTATTTTCCTCTCCTACAACTCTCTGCCCCTACCCTCTCATCTATGCATCACGTTTTCTCTAAGATACATGGATGCCATTTGGCTCTGGCAGTGAATTCCACATTGTCACCACCTCATGGCATGGTGGTGCAATAGGAAGACAGTGGAGTTGGTATTCTGGAAGGATGGTGCCCTTGATACAAACCAATTTTGTTAAAAAAAAATTGAAGTTGCTCTCATTCCCCATTTTTCTTAAGCTGCGTCTGAATCATTTCTTTGTGGCTCAGGTTGAAGTCCGTCAGGAGCACGGAAAAGGCCGGGGGTGTTGGGAGAAGTGGTTTTCCGGATGGCAACCACGCAGCTCATCCGGGAGCTGATTCAAAGAAGCAGGGGAAAAGTAAGTGACTCTTGTTTTGATATATTTTTCTTTAAATTCCAGGGTGAAACCTTAGGGAAGTTTCCAAACTCTCCTGTTTACCTAGCAGTAAGTAGGAACCCAGTTGTTAGTCGATTGGTGAAGTGCTTATTATCCGGGGGTAATACAAATAATTTGGTAATTCAATCCACAACTGTTTGTGGGACACTGGCATGGCCAATTGGCTGCCACGTTTCACCCAATAAATATACAGTCAATTCACTTTACAATATTCTGGTAGGCGTTTGAGACATCTGAACGACGTGTTAAGGCATTACATCAAATGCAAGTATTATTATAAAATCCCTGAATACCTACCTCCACCTATCACCTCTCCCTCCTTCCTCAGCATCCAATCCCAACACAGTACAGCACTCCCGAGACACTAATAATACAATAATGTAACGTATATAATATATACAGTGTGACCAAAAAGTCGTGATACCATTTATTTTAATAATAATTACTTTATTTCTTCATCATTTCTTTAAGACTTATAGATATGTAACAATATCATTAATTAGAATTGGGGGAGGTTAAGATTAGCTGTGTCAAATAAAATCCAGAGTGTAGTTTCTAGAATGCCTGACACTTTCAATAGGTGTGCAGTATGATTGTGTCTAAGTTTAATTTTTGAAATAATAAGTGGTGCACTGGGAGTTGACTGGTGTTGAAAGGTTGAAGTGCAAATCTCACTCGCTGTGATGCAGGTTTGAATGTAAATTATTGTTGTTTATTGTGTTAATTTGGGCAAAAGGCAAAATCCAGGTTTCAAAAAATGTCTTTAAACTTGTAAATTCCCAATAATTCTAATCTGGTAGGAAATTAGTATTCAAATAAAGGCCGGTTTTAACTGGCTATATTCCAGCAGTTACCCCAACATGCACTCTGGGGTCTGCAAGCCTTGGTTCTTGCCAACCTGCGCCTAATACTTTCCAGAATTAGCTAAACAGGATGCGTGTCTCCAGGGGGAGAGTGCACATTCCATTCCAACAATCTATCTCTGGGATTTCCATGTGTAGGTGGGATGCACGGAGGTGGGAAATCTCGGTTTGGGTACTCTTAAGCGTGGTGATGGGTTTGCGCCTGTGTCAGACACCCGGCTGACCAAAAGAAAATCAATTTGAAAAAACCAATGACTCTTCCTATTCCCCTCTTCTTATACCCCGCTATTGCCTTCCACCTCATGTGTCTAATTCATTGAGTTCAAATTCCTAAAGTGTCCTTTTAAATACGTTGAATATGGAATGCATTCCCTCACAGGTGCATAGGTAAGGGATGAATTAGAATGTTTTTTTCAAAATGGAACTAAATGGCTCCTTGTGAAGTAAGGTATGAAGGAATATGTTGACAAGGTGGGGAAATGGGAATGGAAAGATGAAGAGCTGCCATGATCCAATACAATGTTGGAGCAAGCACGATGGGCCAAATAGCCTGCTGCTATTCCTATGAAGCCATTAACATATTCAGCGCAGAAAGAAACTATTCAGCCCATCGGGCCTGTACCACCAGGTTCTTTACTGTTCAATGCTTGGAGTTTTCTCTTAATTACATTGATGCTGTTTGCTCCTGGCAGTGAGTTCTGCATCCTCAACACCTTCTGCAAGGAGACGGAGATTTCACTCTGAGGTTGGACTCTTACATAAGAAATGGCTTGATGGTCTAATAGGGCACTTCATGTTGTACAAAGATCCAGCTGTTAGATTTACAGTATTAAGTCACTTCCACTCTTAGCATTTGGTCCATTTTCATGACATTAGATTTTTGATTGGAAGGAAATAAATGGTGTCTGTATCACTTGGATATTCAGGATACCTGTAGCGAGGTACATTTTTCTTACAAATATGCATTGCCTTTCAGAAATTGCACCAATGATGGCAAAATCTTTAAGGACCTTTAAGAACAGAATTGGGCCACGATAAGCTTACTTGATAGCTGCTGGAAACCGTCTGTGTGAGGGGTGTATGTGTATGCAATGAGCACTTGAACAGAAGATGAGCAAGCGGGAAAGCCTTACTATTTTCCGATGTAAAATTTATTTTGTACCATAAACTACCCAACGGATTTTGGGCAGGTTATTTAAACTGACACTTGTTGCTTTGTGTTTGGTGGCGAGTTCCACTTCAAACAAAATGGGTTATGTTTAGACCAACTGGAGATTAATGGAATTCATTTCAAGCTGATTAATTGTGCTACAATATACTGTAAGCAACATTTATGCAATGTTCAGAATAAATTCTGAAGACTATTTTGCTCCATAGCTTCTTTATTTACATAGTTACATAGAGTGATATGGCATGGAAACAGGCCACTTGGCCCATCTATTGAAATGAAACCACCATGCTACTTTGAGTCCTGTAGCTCAGTGGTTAGAGCACTCGCCTCGCAAGCGAGAGGACATGGGATCGATTCCCGGCAGGGCGAAATGTTGGGCAAGTTTCCTTACTCCACAAGACTCTGTTTACCTAGCAGTATGTAGGAACCCGGTTATTAGTCGATTGGTGGATCGCATTTCCGGGGGTAATAATTTAAATGTATTTAAATTTGGTCACTTCAATCCACAGCTGTTTGTGGGACACTGCTGTGCGCAATTGGCTGCTGTGTTTTGCCTACAAAATATACAGTCAATTCACTTTACAGTATATTCTGTGAAGCGCTTGAGACGTCTCAACTATGGGATAAGGTGCTATATCAAATGCAAGGATTATTATTATAATAATATCCATCTGCGCATTCTGTCAGCTGTGAAACCAAACCTTCTTTTGGTCGTCTTTCAGCCGTTGACTTTGCTGAGTGTAAGTGTTGCCGGTGGTTTAATCCCAAAACAATGGTTTGTGTCCTGTCCTGGACCCGCAGTATTGTTGGAGATTACGCCCACTCAGCAGTTTGCTGTACATACCAAAAGCAGAGGCGACCTTTGACTCACATCACACTTGCTTCACAGCAAGTATGTATGTATTTAGAGGTGGTAGTCTGTTTGTATCTCATAATATATACTATTATATATACTATTATGCTTTTCTCATAATATACTATAATTTTGTAGGTGTTGACCCCCCAAAAAAACTCATAGTAATTGAATGTGAAAGGCTGTACAACAACAACTTGCATTTACATAGCACCCCTCACGCAGAACACTTGACGGTGGTGGAGCATGACTCTGAACTGGGGGGAGGGGGAGGTGACCATAGGCACGTCGAATAGGTCTTCAGACGCAAGCTGAAGATGGGGAAGGAAGGGGCCAGGCGGAGGGATAGAGGAAGAGTGTTCCAGAGTTTCAGGGAGTAGTGGCTGAAAACGCAGCCGCCAAAGGTGGAAAGGAGGGCATGAGGGACATGTAGAAGGTCATGGGTTGGGGGGTGAGCTGGTCAGAGAGGTAGGGAGGTGTCAGGGCATGAAGGGATTTGAAAACAAGTGTGAGGATCTTGAAATTGGTCCGTTCGGCGATAGGGAGCCAGTGGAGGCTGGCTAGAACTGATGTGATGGTCTACAGAGTTTTGTGCAGGTGAGCATGCGGGTGGAGGAGTTTTGGATCAGCTGGATCCTGGTCATGGCGGAGCTGGAGAAACTGGCAGAGAGGGCATTTGAGAAGTTGAGTCGGGAGGTGAAGAATGCTATACCAAATATAAGGATTATTATTGCTACAGTATAATGCTTGTATTTGACATAACTTCTTATCTCGTCAGGATGCCTCAAAGTGCTTCGCAGGATGTACTGTAAGGTGGCGTAACTGTATTTTGTGGGTGAAATTGCTGAATGTAGTGTCTTTATGCATCATGCCTGGTCTTATCAGGTAATGGGGAAAAAAACAACAAAGCGGATCTTGTTAATTCCATTCATTAATCGACTTCATACCACATGTGTTTTGTCATTTCCTTGCGATTTGTTTTTTTGTATGTTATGAAGGTGACCTCATTGCGTCACATGCTGCTACTTACTCCAACGAGCTTTGAAATTTTTACTGCAACGGTTAGCACAAATTCTGCTTCCAGCCTGACTATAGCTAATCTGCAATCTACACATTATTATATATTTTTTTAAAAAATCACAACTTGCATTCATATAGCGTCATTCAAGCAGGATAGTATCTCCGAGTGTTGGAATCCGGGTGTAACCTGCGTGAAGGGTGCTATATAAATGTAAGTTGTTGTTCTATGTGTCAGCCTGGCTTAATGGTAGCACTCTTTCCACTGCATCAGCAGGTTGTGGGTTCAAGCCCAACGTTGAGACTTGGAATCCATGTGGTATAGGCTGATAATGCAACGCTGGGGGTATGCTGAGTTGTCAGAGGTGTCATCCTTTGGATGAGATGTTAAACCGAGGTCCCATCTATGTGTTTAAGTGGACGTTAAAGATCCCATGACACTATTCAGAAAGAGAAGGGAGTTTCTCTTGGTGTTCTGGCCATCAAACGCTCAAATAAAATTGGTCACTCACTTCATTGCTGTATGTAGGACATTGCTCTGCACATATTGGCTACCATGTTCCCCCCACAAAATATACACAATCAATTCACATTACAGTATCCTGAGAAGCACTTTGAGATGCAAGAATGCATCTATAGTTCTGTGTAAGATGAATAGACCAATTCAGGTTTAATCAATTTGACTCAAATTTGAGATTCTCATCCTCAAGCCCTTCACGGCCTCCCACTCCCTGCCCCCCCCCCCCCCCCCCCCAACCTCTGTGACCACCTGCGATTGAAGGGGCCTAATTCAAAACAAATCACCAGAGACACTATTTCAGTGAGCGAGCAGTAAATGTATGCAACAGTCTCCTTAGGGAGATGGTGGAAGCGGAAAGTATTGATTCTTTCAGGAACAAATGATATAGATTATCTCAGGCTACAGCTTTGGACATGACATGGTCATATCACTGCCAGGATGGTGGAAAGCGAACTGAATGGACCTCAGTTTTCTTTCGTCAATTATGACCCTATTTCCCCGGCCACTCCCTCCGGCTGCTTCATGGAGAGTTTTCAGCCACGTGGAGTCCTGTAGTTCAGTGATTAAGCACTTGCCTCCCAAGTGAGAGACCTTGGTTCAATCCTCTGCAGGGCAAAATGTTGGGCAAGTTCCTTACTCCACATGTCTCTGTTACCTAGCAGCAAGTAGGAACCCAGTTGTTAGTCGATTGGGGGTTCACTTCTCCCGGAGTAATAATTCCTTCAAAAAAAATTACAATGATAATAAATTTGTCACTTGAATCCATGACTGTTTGTGGGACACTGCTGTGTGCAATTGGCTGCCCACCAAATATACAGTCAATTCACTTTACAGTATATTCTGTGAAGCGCTTTGAGACGTCTCGAAGATGTGATAAGGCCCTATATCAAATGTAAGTATTATTATTATATTCTGCTCCTTGTTCTGGAACTCCATCCCAGAATCCCTCTGACTCATCCCTTCCCTATCTGCCTTAATACCCATCTCTTTGACTGCAGTTTCAGCCAATTGACTCCCTTCCCCCCTCCACCCTGAGCTCAGGTTCTCTGCAAGCTATGTGAAGCACTTTGAGACATTCCGCTGATCCAAAGATGTATATAAATGTAAATAAAAAAAATAAAAAAATCCTTTATTTGATATAGCACCTATCGTGCCTTCAAGACGTCTCAAAGCGCTTCACAGAATATACTGTAAAGTGAATTGACTGTATATTTTGTGGGTGAAACGCGGCAGCCAATTGTGCACAGCAGTTTCCTACCAACAGCCGTGCATTGAGTGACCAAACCTAAATTACAATTTTTTTTCTTGAGGGTTTATTATCAGGTGTATGGAGTAAGGAAACTTGCCCAAGGTTTCACCCTGCCAGGAATCGAACCCAGGTCTCTCGCTTGCGAGGCAAGTGCTCTAACCACTGAGCTACAGGACTCCACATTGGTGTTGATTAGCATCGCTAGTTGTAAATATATGGAGTAGATTATCCAGGGATGAGGTGGAGGCAGGTCGTGCCAGCAAATTTCCCCACAAACAGCTACGATACCTGGCAGCAAGCTCCTGTCACATGTTTTTAAATGTTCCAATGTTGCAGGCACTATATCAATAGCAAGGTTATTGCTTCTTTACACTCATGAGGAATCAACAGATGGAAGGAAGTAAATTGATTCCTTCCATCTGTGGATTGAAACCAGCAACAGAACACTGGGCTCAATTAGGAAATAGTTTGATTCACTTCTGGGAGGTTCTCTCCTGGAAGGTCGAAGGGCCTCGTTTGTTCAAACCCGTCTCGTGACCTATTTAAAATGATCTCTCTACATCCCCAGAAAACACCCCTCACTGTGGTGCTGTTTGTACCCCACTCCACTGCCTGCCCACTTTGCTGCCAATGGTGGGGTGGGCGGTGGAGGGTGATGTGGAGTATGCTGGAGCCTGCCGAGCGGAGGGAGCAGACAGGTCGGTACGGAGTTAGCAAGTCACAGAGGTAGAGAGGGGCAAGGCCACGGAGGACCTTGAAGGTGAGGATGGAGATTTTGAACTGTATCCTCTTAGGAATGGAGAGCCAGTGGAGCCGGGCGGTGTTCGAGGCGTAATAGGGTTTGGGTGGTTTGTGGCAGGTTGAGTCAAATGGTCTTTTCTTATTCCACATTGGCCTTGTGGAAGGGCAGTTTCATCCTTTAGCCCAAGGTGAGAAGTCAAACTGTGTCCCATTTAGCACAGTAGACCTTGGATTATAGGAATGTACAGCTTGAGCTGCCTGTACTGGCTCAGCCCCACAGGGCGAGTTTGTCACAGGGCACTGAACCCTTGCTATATTTCAAGTAACTTTCTTTTGGCAAGTTTTCCATTCGCACTGTTTGGAATAGGATCGCTAATGCATTATTCTGCCGTAAGCAGGTAAAGCTTGCAGGCAATCGATCTCCTTTTAAAGGAATACCTTATTGGCACATGGCCAGACAAAATGCATGATAATTTGCTTTGTCAAATGCAAGAGTTATTATTATCAGGAGAAATAATAGGAAATGATGATGCAAATTTGAACCAATAAACGCCTGTTCATAAATTGTAGCTCTATCCACTGAATTGTTGGGGCTGCCCTGCTTTGAGATGTTTTGACATAAGTGCCATATCAAGTGCATTATTTCTACTAGTAGGAGTGAACAAAACAATTACTAGCATTTATATAGCATCGTCCACAATAGGTGCCCATGAAGTA